CGGGATGGAAACGGGAAAAACAGGCAGGAAACGGGGAAAATCGGGCTGGAAACGGGCTGGAAATGGGCTGGAAACGGGAAAAAATGGGCTGGAAATGGGAAAAACAGGCTGGAAACGGGCTGGAAATGGGCTGGAAACAGGAAAAAATGGGGGAAAACGGGGAAAAACGGGCTGGAAACGGGAAAAACGGGATGGAAACGAGAAAAAACGGGCTGGAAACGGGAAAAATGGGGAAAAACGGGCTGGAAACGGGAAAAACGGGATGGAAACGAGAAAAAACGGGCTGGAAACGGGAAAAAATGGGGGGAAACGGGCTGGAAACGGGATGGAAACGGGAAAAAATGGGGGGAAACGGGCTGGAAACGGGCTGGAAACGGGAAAAAATGGGGGGAAACGGGCTGGAAACGGGCTGGAAACGGGCTGGAAACGGGAAAAAATGGGGGGAAACGGGCTGGAAACGGGCTGGAAACGGGAAAAAATGGGGGAAACGGGAAAAACGGGCTGGAAACGGGAAAAACGGGCTGGAAACGGGATGGAAACGGGAAAAAATGGGGGGAAACGGGGAAAAACGGGCTGGAAACGGGATGGAAACGGGAAAAACGGGCAGGAAACGGGGAAAAACGGGCTGGAAATGGGCTGGAAATGGGCTGGAAACGGGAAAAACGGGGAAAAACGGGATGGAAATGGGCTGGAAACCGGAAAAAATGGGCTGGAAATGGGAAAAACGGGATGGAAACGGGAAAAAATGGGGAAAAACGGGGAAAAACAGGATGGAAATGGGAAAAATGGGAAAAAACGGGGGAAAAATGGGAAGGAAATGGGGAAAAACGGGGTGAAAATGGGGAAAAACGGGATGGAAATGGGAAAAACGGGGAAAAACGGGCTGGAAACAGGAAAAACGGGCTGGAAACGGGAAAAAATGGGAAAAAATGGGCTGGAAACGGGAAAAACGGGCTGGAAACGGGAAAAACGGGATGGAAATGGGATGGAAACGGGAAAAACGGGGAAAAACGGGCTGGAAACGGGAAAAACGGGATGGAAACGAGAAAAAACGGGCTGGAAACGGGAAAAATGGGGAAAACGGGAAAACGGGATGGAAATGGGGAAAATGGGGAAAAACGGGGAAAAACGGGCTGGAAATGGGGAAAAAATGGGGAAAACCGGGAAGGAAATGGGGAAAAACGGGGTGGAAACGGAAAAAAATGGGGAAAAACGGGGAAAAAATGGGAAAAAACGGGGTGGAAATGGGAAAAAATGAGGAAAATGGGGAAAAATGGGATGGAAATGGGAAAAAACGGGGTGGAAATGGGAAAAAATGGGAAAAAATGGGGTAAAAATGGGAAGGAAATGGGCTGGAAACGGGAAAAAATGGGGAAAAACGGGATGGAAATGGGAAAAAATGGGGAGAAAAAGGGAAAAAATGGGGCAGAAAATGGGGAAAAACGGGGAAAAAATGGGATGGAAATGGGATGGAAATGGGAAAAAACGGGGTGGAAATGGGAAAAAATGGGAAAAAACGGGAAAAAACAGGATGGAAATGGGAAAATACGGGGAAAACAGGAAAAAATGGGGTGGAAATGGGAAAAATGGGGAAAAATGGGGCAGAAATGGGGAAAATGGGGAGAAAATGGGAAAAAACGGGAAAAAACAGAAAAAAATGGGATGGAAATGAGAAAAAATGGGGTGGAAATGGGAAAAAACGGGAGAAAATGGGGCAAAAATGGGGAGAAAAAGGGAAAAAATGGGATGGAAATGGGAAAATACGGGGAAAACGGGAAAAAATGGGGTGGAAATGGGAAAAATGGGGAAAAATGGAGCAGAAATGGGAAAAAATGGGAGAAAATGGGAAAAAATGGGAGAAAATAGGAAAAAATGGGAGAAAATAAGAAAAAAAGGGGAAAAACGGGGTGGAAATGGGAAAAAACGGGAGAAAATGGGGCAGAAATGGGGAGAAAAAGGGAAAAAATGGGAAGAAAATGGGAAAAATGGGGAAGAAATGGGAAAAATGGGGAGAAAAAGGGTAAAAATGGGGAGAAAATGGGGCAGAAATAGGGAAAAATAGGGAAAAACGGGGAAAAATGGGGAAAAATGGGGAAAAAATGGGAAAAAATGGGAGAAAAATGGGAAAAAACGGGGGAAAAACGGGGAAAAATGGGAAGGAAATGGGAAAAAGCGGGGTGGAAACGGGAAAAAATGGGAAAAAATGGGGAAAATGGGGAAAAATGGGATGGAAATGAGAAAAAACGGGAAGGAAATGGGAAAAAACGGGATGGAAATGGGAAAAAATGGGGCAGAAATGGGGAGAAAATGGGAAAAATGGGGTGGAAATGAGGGGAAACGGGAAAAAATGGGGAGAAAATGGGAAAAAATGGGGTGAAAATGGGAAAAATGGGGAGAAAAAGGGAAAAAATGGGGAGAAAATGGGGCAGAAATAGGGAAAAATGGGGGAAAAATGGGAAAAATGGGGCAGAAAATGGGGAAAAATGGGAAAAAATGGGATGGAAATGGGAAGAAACGGGGTGAAAACGGGAAAAAATGGGATGGAAATAGGAAAATATGGGAAAAAACAGGGAAAAATGGGAAAAAATGGGATGAAATGGGATGGAAATGGGAAAAAATGAGAAAAAACGGGGTGGAAATGGGGCAAAAATGGGAAAAAATGGAAGAAAAATGGGAAAAATGGCCCCAAATGACATCAAATGACCCCAAGTTGTACCAAAGTGGTGACAAATAGTACCAAAATATCCCCAGTGTCCCCTCAGTGTCCCCCCAGTGTCCCCAGTGTCCCTCAGTGTCCCCAATGTCCCCCCAGTGTCCCCTCAGTGTCCCCCCAGTGTCCCTCAGTGTCCCCCCAGTGTCCCCCCAGTGTCCCCAATGTCCCCTCAGTGTCCCCAGTGTCCCCAGTGTCCCCTCAGTGTCCCCAATGTCCCCAATGTCCCCTCAGTGTCCCGTGTGTGCCGTGCCCTGGCCCAGCTCTCTGCTGACCCTGCCCCTCCGCTGGCTCTGGCTCTGTGTGAGCGCCTCGGGGACAGCCTGGCCCGGCTCGGGGGTGTCCCCAGTGTCCCCTCAGTGTCCCCAATGTCCCCTCAGTGTCCCCAATGTCCCCTCAGTGTCCCCAATGTCCCCTCAGTGTCCCGTGTGTGCCGTGCCCTGGCCCAGCTCTCTGCTGACCCTGCCCCTCCGCTGGCTCTGGCTCTGTGTGAGCGCCTCGGGGACAGCCTGGCCCGGCTCGGGCACTTCCAGCGCGCCGCCGACTTCTACCAGAGACAGGTGAGGAGCCCTGAGGGCAGCCCGGGAACGGGGGGACCCGGGAATTCCATGGGAATTTTGGGGAATTTCGGGGGGATTTTTTCAGATTTTTTTTTGGATTTATTTTTTATTTTTTTCTGATTTTTTTCTGATTTTTTTTTTTAATTTTTTTTGGGTTTTTTTGGATTTTTTTATGATTTTTTTCTCATTTTTTCTGATTTTTTTCGGATTTATTTTTGAATTTTACCTGATTTTTTGGGGGATTTTTTTCTGATTTTTTTCAGATTTTTTTTCTGATTTATTTTTGAATTTTACCTGATTTTTTGGGGGATTTTTTTCGGATTTTTTTTTGATTTTTTTCGGATTTATTTTTGAATTTTACCTGATTTTTTGGGGGGATTTTTTTTGTTTGTTTTTTTCTGATTTTTTTCTGATTTTTTTCGGAATTATTTTTGAATTTTACCTGATTTTTTTCTGATTTTTTAGGATTTTTTTCTGATTTATTTTTGAATTTTACCTGATTTTTTTCGGATTTTTTAGGATTTTTTTCTGATTTATTTTTGAATTTTACCTGATTTTTTTCGGATTTTTTAGGATTTTTTTTGGATTTTTTTCTGATTTATTTTTGAATTTTACCTGATTTTTTTGAGGATTTTTTTCTGATTTTTTTTTGATTTTTTTCTGATTTTTTTCTGATTTTTTTCTGATTTATTTTTGAATTTTACCTGATTTTTTGGGGGATTTATTTTTTGGTTTTTTCTGATTTTTTTCTGATTTATTTTTGAATTTTACCTGATTTTTTTGAGGATTTTTTTCTGATTTTTTTCTGATTTTTTCTGATTTTTTTCTGATTTATTTTTGAATTTTACCTGATTTTTTTGAGGATTTTTTTATTGTTTTTTTCTGGTTTTCTTCCGATTTTTTCTGATTTTTTTCTGATTTATTTTTGAATTTTACCTGATTTTTTTGAGGATTTTTTTCTGATTTTTTTTTTATTTTTTTCTGACTTTTTTCGGATTTTTTTCTGATTTATTTTTGAATTTTACCTGATTTTTTGGGGGATTTTTTTTTTTGTTTTTTTGGTTTTTTTCTGATTTTTTTCTGATTTTTTTTGGATTTATTTTTGAATTTTACCTGATTTTTTTGATAATTTTTTGGGGTTTTCTTTTCTGTTTTTTCCAGGATTTTTTCGGATTTTTTTCTGATTTTTCCAGGATTTTTTCTGATTTTTTCCCAATTTTTTTTAAATTTTACCTGATTTTTTGAGGATTTTTTGGGTTTTTTTTCTGTTTTATCCAGGATTTTTTCTGATTTTTTTTTATTTTTCATTTCCCTGGAATTTCCCTCTTTCCTTGACAACTTCCCCCTCATTTTTGGGTGGTTTTTCCCATTTTTTCCCCATTTTTCCCTCAGTTTTTCCCAATTTTTCCCATTTTTTTCCCGTTTTCCCACATTTTCCCCCTCTTTTCCCACTTTTCCCTCCCTAATTCCCATTTTTTTTCATTTCCCTGGAATTTTCTCCTTTTCTTTGGAATTTCTTTGTTTCTTTTGGTGGTGTTTTTCCCATTTTCCTTCCATTTCTCCCCATTTTTACCCCAATTTTTCCCCACTTTTCCCTCCCTAATTCCTTCTTTTGGTGGTGTTTTTCCCATTTTCCTTCCATTTCTCCCCATTTTTACCCCAATTTTTCCCCACTTTTCCCTCCCTAATTCCCATTTTCCCCTTTCCCATTTTTCCCTGGAATTTCTCTCTTTCCTTGACAACTTTCCCCTCATTTTTTGCCCCTTTTCCCCATTTTTCCCCCATTTTTCCCCATTTTTTCCCATTTTCCCCCATTTTTCCCCTTTTTTTTCCCATTTTCCCACGTTTTTTCCCATTTTCCCCCATTTTCCCCCATTTTTCCCCATTTTTCCCTCCCTAATTCCCATTTTTTCCCATTTTTCCCTGGAATTTCCCTCTTTCCTTGACAACTTCCCCTCATTTTTTTCCCTTTTTTCCCATTTTTCCCCATTTTTTCCCATTTTTCCCTCCCTAATTCCCATTTTTTCCCGTTTTTCCCTGGAATTTCCCTCTTTCCTTGACAACTTTCCCCTCATTTTTTGCCCCTTTTTCCCCATTTTTTCCCATTTTCCCCACATTTTTCCCCATTTTTCCCCAATTTTTCCCATTTTTTTCCCATTTTTCCCCATTTTTCCCCTCTTTTCCCACTTTTCCCTCCCTAATTCCCATTTTTTCCCATTTTTCCCTGGAATTTCTCTCTTTCCTTAACAACTTTCCCCTCTTTTTTTGCCCCTTTTCTCCCATTTTTTCCCCATTTCCCCCCCATTTTTTCCCATTTTTCCCCCATTTTTTCCCATTTTTCCCCCATTTTCCCCCTCTTTTCCCACTTTTCCCTCCCTAATTCCCATTTTCTTTCATTTCCCTGGGATTTTCTCCTTTTCTTTGGAATTTCTTTGCTTCTTTTGGTGGTTTTTTTTTCCCATTTTCCCTGCATTTTTTCCCATTTTCCCCCATTTTCCCCCATTTTTTCCCCTCTTTTTCCTCCCTAATTCCCATTTTCCCTTTTCCCATTTTTCCCTGGAATTTCCCTCTTTCCTTGACAACTTCCCCTCATTTTTTTCCCTTTTTTCCCATTTTTCCCCATTTTTTCCCATTTTTCCCTCCCTAATTCCCATTTTTTCCCGTTTTTCCCTGGAATTTCCCTCTTTCCTTGACAACTTTCCCCTCATTTTTTGCCCCTTTTTCCCCATTTTTTCCCATTTTCCCCACATTTTTCCCCATTTTTCCCCAATTTTTCCCATTTTTTTCCCATTTTTCCCCATTTTCCCCCTCTTTTCCCACTTTTCCCTCCCTAATTCCCATTTTCTTTCATTTCCCTGGGATTTTCTCCTTTTCTTTGGAATTTCTTTGCTTCTTTTGGTGGTTTTTTTTTCCCATTTTCCCTGCATTTTTTCCCATTTTCCCCCATTTTTTCCCCTCTTTTCCCTCCCTAATTCCCATTTTCCCTTTTCCCATTTTTCCCTGGAATTTCCCTCTTTCCTTGACAACTTCCCCTCATTTTTTGCCCCTTTTTCCCATTTTTTCCCCATTTTTCCCCATTTTCCCCCATTTTTTCCCATTTTTTTCCCCATTCTTCCCCATTTTCCCCATTTTTCCCCTCTTTTCCCACTTTTCCCTCCCTAATTCCCATTTTTTTCATTTCCCTGGAATTCCCCTTTTTCCTTGTGAACTTTCTCCTCATTTTTGGCTGCTTTTCCCCATTTTCCCCATTTTTTCCCCATTTTCCCCACATTTTTCCAATTTTTTCCCATTTTTCCCCATTTTTTCCCATTTTCCCCACGTTTTTTCCCATTTTCCCCACATTTTTCCCATTTTTTCCCCATTTTTCCCCAATTTTTTCCTTCTTTTCCCACTTTTCCTTCCCTAATTCCCACTTTTCCCTTTTCCCATTTTTCCCTGGAATTTCTCTCTTTCCTTGACAACTTTACCCTTATTCTTTGGGGTTTTTTCCCCATTTTTTCCTCTTTTTTCCCATTTTTCCCCATTCTTCCCCATTTTCCCCTTTTTTTCCCACTTTTCCCTCCCTAATTCCCATTTTTTCCCATTTTTCCCTGGAATTTCCCTCTTTCCTTGACAACTTTCCCCTCATTTCTTGCCCCTTTTTCCCATTTTTCCCCTTTTTTTTCCCATTTTTCTCACATTTTTCCCATTTTTCCCCATTCTTCCCCATTTTCCCCCTCTTTTCCCTCTTTTCCCTCCCTAATTCCCATTTTTTTCATTTCCCTGGAATTTCTCTCTTCCCTTAACAACTTCCCCCTCATTTTTTCCCCATTTTCCCCCTTTCTCCCCCATTTTTTCCCATTTCCCCCCCATTTCTAAGCTGTTTTTTCCCGTTTTTTCCCATTTTTTCCCGTTTTTCCCTGGAATTTCTCTCTTTCCTTGACAACTTTCCCCTCATTTTTTGCCCCTTTTTCCCATTTTTTCCCCATTTTTCCCCATTTTCCCCCATTTTTTCCCATTTTTTTCCCCATTTTTCCCATTTTTCCCCATTTTTTCCCTCTTTTCCCTCCCTAATTCCCATTTTTTTCATTTCCCTGGAATTCCCCTTTTTCCTTGTGAACTTTCTCCTCATTTTTGGCTGCTTTTCCCATTTCCCCCCCATTTCTAAGCTGTTTTTTCCCGTTTTTTCCCATTTTTTCCCGTTTTTCCCTGGAATTTCTCTCTTTCCTTGACAACTTTCCCCTCATTTTTTGCCCCTTTTTCCCATTTTTTCCCCATTTTTCCCCATTTTCCCCCATTTTTTCCCATTTTTTTCCCCATTTTTCCCATTTTTCCCCATTTTTTCCCTCTTTTCCCTCCCTAATTCCCATTTTTTTCATTTCCCTGGAATTTCCCTCTTCCCTTAACAACTTCCCCTCATTTTTTCCCCATTTTCCCCCTTTCTCCCCCATTTTTTCCCGTTTCCCCCCATTTTTAACCTGTTTTTTCCCGTTTTTTCCCCGTTTTTTCCCGTTTTTTCCCGTTTTTTCCCGTTTTTCCCGGTTTTTTCCCGGTTTTTCCCGGGATTGGGGGCTCAGCTGGCTCTGGCCGAGGCTCAGGGGGCTCCCGGGCGGGATCTGGCCGTCATCCACGTCTCGCTGGCCGCCACATTCCGGGATCTGGGCCAGCATTCCCGGGCCCTGCAGCATTTCCGGAGGGAGCTGGAGCTGCGCCGCGGGGAGCCCCTGGAGGTGAGAGTCTGCAATTCCCAAAATTCCCCGAATTCCCAAAATTCCTGATCCCAAATCCACGAATTTCTGATCCCAAATCCCCAAATTCCCAAATCCCAAATCCCCAAATCCCCGAATCCCCAAATTCCCAAATAATTCCTGATCCCAAATCCCCGAATTCCCAAATTCCCGATCCCAAATCCCCAAATCCCCAAATCCCCGAATCCCCAAATCCCCAAATCCCAAATCCCCAAATTCCCAAATCCCCAAATTCCCAATCCCAAATTCCCCAATAATTCCCAATCCCAAATCCCCAAATTCCCAAATCCCCAAATTCCCAAATCCCCAAATTCCTGATCCCAAATCCCCAAATCCCCAAATTCCCAAATTCCTGATCCCAAATCCTCGATCCCAAATCCCCAAATTCCCAAATTCCCAAATCCCCAAATCCCAAATCCCAAATCCCCAAATCCCCAAATTCCCAAATTCCCAAATTCCCAAATCCCAAATCCCAAATTCCCAAATAATTCCCGATCCCAAATCCCCGAATTCCCAAATCCCCAAATCCCCAAATCCCAAATCCCCAAATCCCCAAATCCCAAATCCCCAAATCCCAAATCCCAAATCCCCAAATCCCCAAATTCCCAAATCCCAAATCCCCAAATTCCCAAATAATTCCTGATCCCAAATTCCCAAATTCCCAAATCCCCAAATCCCAAATTCCCAAATCCCCAAATTCCTGACCCAAAATTCCTAAATTCCTGATCCCAAATCCTCAAATCCCCGAATTCCCGATCCCAAATCCCCAAATTCCCAAATTCCCGACCCAAAATTCTCGAATTCCTGATCCCAAATCCTCGATCCCTGATCCCAAATCCCCAAATTCCCAAATAATTCCTGATCCCAATTCCAAATCCCCGAATTCCCAAACCTCCAATCCTGAATTCCCGATCCCAAATCCCCAAATTCCCAAATTCCTGACCCAAAATTCCCAAATCCCCAAATCCCCAAATCCCCAAATTCCCAAATTCCTGATCCCAAATCCTCGATCCCAAATCCCCAAATCCCCAAATCCCCAAATCTCCAATCCCAAATTCCCAAATCCCCAAATTCCCGACCCAAAATTCCCAAATTCCCGATCCCAATTCCAAATCCCCAAATTCCCAAATTCCCGATCCCGAATTCCCTGATCCCAAATCCCCGAATAATTCCCGACCCAAAATTCCCAAATCCCCGATCCCAAATTCCTAAATTCCCGATCAAAATCCCAAATCCCCGAATTCCCAAATCCCCAAATCCCCAAATTCCCGATCCCAAATCCCCAAATCCCCAAATCCCCAAATCCCCAAATCCCAAATTCCCAATCCCAAATTCCCAAATCCCCAAATCCCCAAATCCCAAAACCCCAAATCCCAAATCCCCAAATCCCCAAATCCCTAAATCCCCAAACCCTAAATCCCCAAATTCCCAAATCCCCAAATCCCCAAATCCCAAATCCCCAAATCCCCAAATTCCCAAATCCCCAAATTCCCAAATCCCCAAATTCCCAAATCCCCAAATTCCAAATCCCCAAATCCCAAATCCCCAAATCCCCAAATCCCCAAATTCCCAAATCCCAAATCCCAAATCCCCAAATTCCCAAATCCCCAAATTCCAAATCCCCAAATCCCCAAATTCCCAAATAATTCCCGATCCCAAATCCCGAATCCCAGAATTCCCAGAACTCCCAGAACTCCCAGAACTCCCAGAATTCCCGCAATTCCCAGAATTCCCGGAACTCCTGGAACTCCCAGAATTCCCAGAACTCCCAGAATTCCCGGAACTCCTGGAACTCCCAGAATTCCCGGAATTCCCGCATTCCCGCATTCCCAGGAATGCCGGACGTGGCTGAACGTGGCTCTGGCTCTGGAGGATTTGGGATCGGCTCCGGATCAGATCCTGCCCCCGCTCCGCAGCGCCCTGGGATGCGCCGAGGCCGCCGGGGATTCCCGGCTCCAGGTGGGAATTCCGGGAATTCCGGGGATTCTGGGAATTTTTATGGATTTTTTAGAATTTTTAGGGAATTTTTAGGGATTTTTTGGGATTTTTTTTTGATTTCTTGGGGATTTTTTTGGAATTTTTTAGGGATTTTTGGGGTCTCAGCGCCCTGGGATGCGCCGAGGCCGCCGGGGATTCCCGGCTCCAGGTGGGAATTTGGGAATTCTGGGAATTCCAGGGATTTTTTAGAATTTTTAGGGAATTTTTAGGGATTTTTTTGGGATTTTTTGGGATTTTTTAGGGAATTTTGGGGTCTGAGCGCCCTGGCATGCGCCGAGGCCGCCGGGGATTCCCGGCTCCAGGTGGGAATTCCGGGAATTCCGGGAATTCTGGGAATTTTAGGGAATTTTTAGGGATTTTTTTTCTATTTTTTGGGATTTTTTTTTGATTTTTTTTTGACTTTTTGGGGATTTTTTTGGGATTTTTTAGGGAATTTTGGGGTCTGAGCACCCTGGGATGCGCCAAGGGATTCCCGGCTCCAGGTGGGAATTCCGGGAATTCTGGGAATTTTGGGGAATTTTTTGGAATTCTTAGGGAATTTTTAGGGATTTTTTGGGAATTTTTTGGGATTTTTTGGGATTTTTTGGGGATTTTTTTGGGATTTTTTTGGGATTTTTTAGGGAATTTTGGGGTCTGAGCGCCCTGGGATGCGCCGAGGCCGCCGGGGATTCTGGGCTCCAGGTGGGAATTTGGGAATTCCGGGAATTCTGGAATTCTGGGAATTTTGGGAATTTTTTGGAATTTTTTGGAATTTTTTTTGAATTTTTAGGGATTTTTTTTTGATTTTTTGGGGATTTTTTCTGGGAATTTTTTGGAATTTTTAGGGATTTTTTGGGGGGGTTTTGGGATTTTTTTGGAATTTTTTGGAATTTTTTTTGGAATTTTTGGGGGTTTTTTGGGGATTTTTTAGGGAATTTTGGGGTCTGAGCACCCTGGGATGCTCCGAGGTCTCCGGGGATTCCCGGCTCCAGGTGGGAATTCCGGGAATTCTGGGAATTCCAGGGATTTTTAGGAATTCTTAGGAATTTTTAGGGATTTTTTGGGAATTTTTTGGGATTTTTTGGGATTTTTTGGGATTTTTTGGGATTTTTTGGGGAATTTTTGGGTCTGAGCGCCCTGGGATGCGCCGAGGCCGCTGGGGATTCCCGGCTCCAGGTGGGAATTCCGGGAATTCTGGGATTTTTTGGGAATTTTTTAGAATTTTTAGGGAATTTTTAGGGATTTTTTTGGAATTTTTTGGGATTTTTTTGGGATTTTTTTGGATTTTTTAGGGAATTTTGGGGTCTGAGCGCCCTGGGATGCGCCGAGGCCGCCGGGGATTCTGGGCTCCAGGTGGGAATTTGGGAATTCCGGGAATTCTGGAATTCTGGGAATTTTGGGAATTTTTTGGAATTTTTTGGAATTTTTTTGGAATTTTTAGGGATTTTTTTTTGATTTTTTGGGGATTTTTTCCGGGAATTTTTTTGAATTTTTAGGGATTTTTTGGGGGGTTTTTGGGATTTTTTTGGAATTTTTTGGAATTTTTTTGGGAATTTTTGGGGGTTTT